TATTTGAAGTGAAATTTATGACGTGGTGTTTGAAATGTTTCTGATTTTTCAATGATGAGTTTTCCTGAGAAAATTGACTTGCTTTGTGAATTCTACTTTTCAATTTATATGGAAAGATTAGAGCAGGTCAGTTTTGAAATATAAACCAAATATTCTCTTCAATCTTTCTTATTTTGGGGTGTGCGATAGACTTACCTCCACGTGGTGCACCCTGGACAACGCATACTCATACGGCAAAAAAGTCTATTGACTGGCAGTTGACTTCTCGCTTCAAACTACTATCACCTCACTCAATGCCATATTCGACTATTTTCACAGTTCTCACTTCACCTTTGTTGTACCTTTGTGTTTGTCACTTACATCTTTGAAACACTCTTCTGTCCCCCCCCCCTCTCGACTTTTTTCAATTTGATCTTCCTTCCCCTCTGTGAAGCCTGAAGTCAATTAAAGGGCTAATGATAACCATCAAGACGCCTGCCATTTGATATAAATAAATAAATAAATCTTTCTTATTTTTGGACGCAGAAAGCCCGCTAATTGGAGAAGTTAAGTGGAATCAGGTGAGTCGAAGTTTGAAGTGCGGACATAGGAATTGGGTGACATATTGACTTTCAAACCGCATGCACTTGTATTGAAGGCCAATAAATTTTTTAAAGATTTAAATTTTTTGGTGAATCTGAGGTGTGGATAATGGTGATCAAGGTTAAATGTTTTCTTAAAACGCAATAAATGCTCTTCAATGTATGTGTGCTCCATTCTCTCGATGATTCGGTAGTAGTTGCGTATCAGGGTAAACCACGAGAGAGTATTTCGTCGAGGCATTTATTTGTTTCAAATTTTCTGGCTTTATGATGTTTACCATTATCACTTTATTTGACTTCGGACTTCACAGGAGAGAAGAACTTCAAAATGGGAAAAGTCGATAGGGGGTGGGGGGACAGAAGAGTGGTTCACAGAAGTAAAAGAGACAGGCAGACACGAAGGTAGAAAAAAGGTAAGATGAGTACGGCGAAAGAGGTCGAATTTGATAACAGTCAGGTAATGGTAGTTTGAAGTCAGAAGTCAACTGCCGGTTTATAGACCCTTTTGCCATATGAGTATACGTTGCCCATGGTGCAACAGGTGGAGGTAAGTCTATCGTACACCCCATTTCGAGGCACTGGCAAGGCTAATTTGAGTAGTATCGGCCACTTATTTCAAATAAAATACAAATAATTAGCGTCCAAATTGGCAGACAGATTCCAGAGCTCATTGATGGAATTTATGCTGAAGTTGGCCTCAGCAATGGCCCTACGTTTTGGCATACTTTAGAGAAAATATAAAAATTTTATAAAATATGCGTTTAATTAATCTTCTTTATCCAGACATGATAATTTGCCTTATTTAACGGGTTAAGCACCCTAAAATAAATTGAGAGCGAAAGGTGTCTGTGAGTGATGTATGCCTGTCTATGCAGCATAGTTCAACAGTTCAATCCAAAATTTTTGTCTTTCAGTTCAACAAAGTACTATTAAATTTTAATCTAATCTTTTCAACCCACTTCATTCAGGTAATCAATTTGATCATTATTCCGTAATTGTTTAAAATTAGCCGCTTTTAAACTCTTGAGGAAATTTTTGCGGCTTCAATCTATGTTCAAATCGATAAAATGAAAAATAAACTACTTTAAGGGCTAATGATAATTATCACAAAGCTTGCCATTTGAAATAATAATAATAGTAATAATAATAACTTTTGGCCTCGAAAAGGTCTGCTGCAACCAAACCACTTTTACTATTCGACCAATCAACAGTTAATTTAATGGTGCGTAGAAGAGCACTGATAGGTCTGATTAACAGAGCATGCTGAATGCTGACTTCGCATCTTACGGAAGAGTATCTTGAAGTGGTATATTCAAGGCTTGTTTGTGTAGAAAGAGTTACAGATCTCTTCTCTTCTTCTTATGTAGAAGATCAAAGCGTAGTACACAAAACTATCCATCTATCAACTCAACAAAATTCTCCCAAGTTGCCCACTCGTCGCTTCGCCATGTGTCACAGAGATGCATTCATGTTGTAGTGCCTCGTAACCAATTTTCGGAATTCGGATTTTTAACCCTAAATACATTACAAGTTGGTGCAAAGGTGTACCCACCCGAATGGCCCAATACAAAACCTCACAAACACACGCACGAAAGTTTGCCGTACAATTCAATAACATACAACAACAAACAAACCCATTTGATCATATAATGCTCCATTAATATGCGATAACATTCAACTTTGGAGTAGGTGCGGTCACAAGCACGTCTTTTAGAGCATCATTCGATCTAGTTTAGTTTGGCTTTTTTTAGTAACAATAAGAGCTTCACTCATAGTTAATAATATTCGAATCTTTATATATTCCATTTGGAATCAAAAAAGAATTTGTTGCCAAATAGACGAAAAATGAGGCAAAAAATGAAAGAAGAAATAGTAACAAGAAGATATATTCACACACACACACACACACACACAGAGAGAAGAAAATTCAATACCGTGGACATTTAAATGATTCATGTCTGACTGTGTAAAATGAGGAAGCACATTCATCAGCGTCAAGTGGAAGACGAATTTTGTGAATGACATGTCCATGTCCATTCAATAGATATTCATCACAGAGTCCAGAGCTTCGCCCTCTAGACTCACGTTTTGGAACCCGACATCGCTGCACAAAGGGAAATTTTCTCATCAATTTTCTGCAGTTCTCAACCACTATCATCTTTCCACTCTCCATGGCATGTGACCAATGATGAGATCTGCAACCTGTCTCCTTGGTACCGTAGCAGGATTTGAGGAAACTCACTGGTCGTTTCGGTGACGGTAACCACTGTTTTCCAAATGGCCGATATGTCAAGGGAAATATATCACTAAGGGGATATTTTCTACTGGGATCTCTGTAATTTCGGCCAAAATTAGGTTGGTATTCCTCATAGTAAAAAATGTCGATGAATGGCCATGCCCATGGATATCTACCAATGGCTTGGCTGCCAATTGAGTTGGGAGTGACAATTGTTGAGGCATTAAATGGAGCAAAGTAGAGTTTATCATGCCCACCCCATTTGATAGTGAGAAATTTGGGAGCAAGTTTCTTCAGAGCAGCTTGAACCACTGGACGATATTTGACATTTAATTTAAAGTCAGCATCGTCATCCCAAGGTATGAAATCGTGATGTCGGATAGATCCCAGAAGTGTTCCACCGTCGACAAACCATTGACCGTCCAAATTGATATCTGTCATTGCCTTTTTGAATACTTCTATCAGAATTTCTAATGTTCGTTTTTGGCCGACACTAATTTTCATTTCAAGAGGACCCAATTTGCCCACGTCCGCAATTGTGGAAACATTTGGTCTGGTAAGGTTGGGCCAGGTAATTAAACTGAGGTCGAATGTGTGATTATAATACTTTTCATTTTTGGAAAGCGAAATATGATGCAAAGTGATCACGAAGATCAAAGCACAAATACTTATCAGAAGAAAGACGTATCTGTCCCTAATGGAGTTATTCTGAAGATAGTCAAATTAGTTATAACATCAATATCACAATATTCAACAGTTAATTCATTGAAACTTGCCATTATAAAAGTTGCAAAATCGAAAATATTACGTGTGCTTGGAAATTTTTAGTCTTCTACTAAGTTAATAGAAATATAACGTCAACATTAAAATGCATTATCAAAACGTACTGCTCTGAACATTTCTTCAAATCAAAATTGTGGAGTACGGGACGAGATGAGAATAAGATTAGCATTGAGAAATGTGTATTTATAAGTTGAGTTTAAATTAACGCAATGTGTGTCTATTGGCTTACGCATTAACAAGGTAATGGTTGGATACTTTCACTATGAAATATGCTATGATCAGAAGAATTTGGCTTTTGTAAACTTAATTCAGGGAGCAGCGTTTGGTCTTGATGATGGGATATCTATTTGAGTGTTCTCTTATTTTATTTTTGTATTAATTAACGCTGTATGTATCATTTTGGTCGGCTTTCCATAAATAGTTACAGGCATAGAGTCAATTATAATGCTAAAATTGAGACACAGCTCTCAGAATTAACCATCAATTTATCTCTAAATATCATTATATCAAATGGCAGGCGTTTTGAGGTTTATCATTAGCCCCTTAGTTGGCTTCAGGCTTCATAGAGGGGAAGGAACATCAAAGTGCAAAAGTCGAGAGGGGGGGGGGGCAACAGAAGAGAGGAGTGTTTCAAAGATGTAAGAGACGAATACAAAAGTAGAAAAAAGGTGATGTGAGTATTGTGAAAGGAGTCGAATATGACTTACAGTGGGGTGATGGTAGTTTGAAGTGAGAAGTCAACTGCCAAGTAATAGACTATTTTGCCGTATGTGTATACGTTGCCCAGGGTGCACCACGTGGAGGTAAGTCTATCGCACACCCCTATTCCTAAATATAAATTAGCAGGCAAATGATTATAACAGTGAATCACTCTGATATCTAATTTTAATATTGAGAGGTTGCAGACAGATTTTCGACTCGCGTCCCACCCTCATACCCCACGGAGGATCTTAAAGTTGAAATTTCATTCCAGACAGTATTCACCTGTGTTGCGAATTCGTAGAGTTTTCTCTTTATTTGAGGTTAAATTTAAGCGGCATGCATCTACTTTATCAATTTCCTTACAACTAAAACTAATGGTCTTTGTCTCAGTTCCGAAGTCCATAAAGATCGAACAAAAGACACGATATACAGTTTTCCCCATGCCGACTAAAAGAAAAATATACAACTATCCAAATGAATGTCAAGATGGAAGATTAGCGAGAAGCTCTAATTGAGTGAACCAATGGTTGATCTCCTGACCGTGTGAGAATTTCAATTCATGTACCGGAAGGACCTATTCAAGTGGTAAGATAGGTTCATTAGTCAAATCCTAATGCAAATCAAAGCACTCACCTGAAATGTGAACAAATCACTCCATCGTGTATTCGTGGAGTAGTATAGAAATTGGGTAGGAAGGTGAATAGGAATTGTGGCAAATATTATGAGTAATTTATTTATTGCTTATATCAAATGGCAGACGTTTTGATGGTTATCATTAGCCCTTTAGTTGATTTCAAGCTTCTCAGAGGGGAAGGAACATCAAAGTGAAAGAAGTCGAGAGAGGGGTGGGGGGACAGAAGAATGTTTCAAAGACGAAGGTAGAAGAGATAGAAAAAAGGTGAGGTTAGTACTGTGGAAATAGTCGAATATGACATACACTGGGACGATGGTATTAGGTTGACAACTAAGTCATTGCCGATTTCAAATAAGAAGGCAAATTCGGAATTTTTGTTTAAAAATATAACTTTATTCAATTAGATATTGGCCGTTCTTGTCGATGACCTTTTCCATCGTTCTGGCAGAGTAAAAATTCCCCGTTCGTAAAATGTCTGGTCTTTGCTATTAAAAAACTGAATTAGGTGTGATCCGACATCATCCGCGTTGTTA